CACGAGTGTCACCGCCCCGCCCCGATCCCGCCCATCACCGTCGCCACTTAAGCGCCGTCGGTTGCCCCGCCGAGGCAGTGCGGTGCTGGGAAGGCGGTGGTGTCGGAGCCTCCTATCGTATTTATCTTTTTTCCCCCACCACCACCACCTTCCTCTTGGCTCCAAAAAAATGACCGTGAAAGCCGCCGAGGCATCGTCTGGTCCTACTTTGACTTACTCCAAGATGAGAGGGATGGTGGCCATCCTCATCGGTGAGGGGGCTTCTTCCTTGAGGATTTTTGGGGGGCAGCAGTAGGCTGTGATTTTTTATATATTTTATTTCTTTTTTGTGGCCAGATGGCCGAACGATTTTAATTTTTCCTTCTCTTTTTTTCCTCCCTAGCTTTCATGAAGCAGAGAAGAATGGGGCTGAACGACTTCATTCAGAAGATCGCCACCAACTCCTACGCCTGCAAGCAGTGAGTATTGGAAATTTTGGAGATTTTGGCCAGATTTCAGTTCAGAAATACGACTACCTATTGCGAGATCTACTTTAAAAAAAAAATAATGATGTCTGTTTACGGTAATGCTTCTGGCATGACTGTTACGGAAGAGTTAATTGATCTCCTTGAGGGTATTACTCACTTGGCAACAATCCTAGTGAGCTGGGTTTGGGAAAAAATAAGTCGGATGGGATTTCTAGCGAAATTAACTCATTTAGAGCTGTACTTACAGTATAAATACATTTCTCTGCATGACGGGAGTTTACTTTCCCTAGATAAATTCTACTCTTTAGTCAAACAGATCGTTTCAGTTGCCTTCTCCAATAAGCCCAAACCAACACTCATCTTCCTCGGTCCGTGCGTGCCCTCTGGTGGGAAGATCTACCTGATGACTCTTTCTAATGGTGCACTCTTCTTATCCCTGCAGCCCAGAAGTTCAGTCTATCTTGAAAATCTCCCAGCCCCAAGAGCCTGAACTTATGAATGCTAATCCTTCTCCCCCGGTAAGTAGCTTTTACTCAGTGAAGCGTTTTTAGAACATCAGATGGGTAGTATTAGTAGTGCAAGCAAAATTAGCACCATGAGTGTTACTTCAGTTCAGCTCATGGCACTCTGGTGTAACTGGGAAAAAGAGTAATTGAGTAAAGGACTGAAACTTTTTTTCTTTTCCCAATATAGAGAATAAATTTTAAAAAAAAAAAGCTTTATTAGCCATTACTTCATTATGGAATGTGGCTAAGACCTCAGCAATAACTTTTAAGTAAGATGTGACTGTTATACTCTTCTTAGTACCTAATAGTTTAAGATACCTGGTAGATGTCAAAATTAAAGTTTTAGTGGTAAGAAGAATGCTAATCTTAATTTCCAAGGTCACTTTATTTATATTTTTAAGAAGACGTTGTTGAGACTTTCCCTACCAAACTGTTTTAATAAGGGTGGTTTCTGTCTGTTTTTATATTTTTAAGAAGACGTTGTTGAGACTCTCCCTACCAAACTCTTTTAATAAGGGTGGTTTCTGTCTGTTTTTCTAGCCCAGTCCTTCCCAGCAGATCAATCTTGGTCCATCATCCAACCCACACGCCAAACCATCAGACTTTCATTTCTTAAAAGTGATTGGAAAAGGCAGCTTTGGGAAGGTAAGCTTCACTCTTTTTTTTTTTTTTTGTGTGGTAACTTATTTACTCTTCATCTCTTGTGTGTAATGCCTGAGGGTTGGGTTTGTACTGGCTTTGGTAAATGATGTCCATTTAAACCAGACCCAAGCGTGTCCCACTTCCCAGTGCCTGGCTCCCTCCGTAGCTGCGAGGAGAGGGAGCAGGGTGCTGCATCTGAAAGAGTCAGAATAGAGCCAGGGAGTGAGGTGCAACTGGTGCTGGGAAGAATATAGACGTGGCTTTTGGAAGGGAAAGAAACTAGATGTAAAAATTTGGGGCTGGATTAATCTGGTAATAGTTTAGGCATTTCCAGCAAAGGGTTTGCACGTTGACCCAGAGGGATGTCGCAGTGCTCAGTGGTTTAAACACAAAGGCTTGTTTCCCTGCTGTGTTTCCAAGTTGTTCTGTATTTCAGTAGTGCTCAGTTGTGGGATTTTATCCTCTTTCAGGTTCTCCTCGCACGGCATAAGGCAGAAGAGCAGTTCTATGCAGTTAAAGTCCTGCAGAAGAAAGCAATCCTGAAGAAGAAGGAGGTGAGTTGTGTCTTCCTGATACCATTGCCACGTCCATCAAATGTATTTTTACTGCTATTACTAAGCAAGTGTACTAAACGTTGACGATTCCTTATGTTTTCAGGAGAAGCACATCATGTCAGAGCGCAACGTCCTGCTGAAAAATGTGAAACACCCCTTCCTGGTCGGGCTTCACTTCTCCTTCCAAACTGCAGACAAATTGTATTTTGTCCTAGACTACATCAATGGTGGAGAGGTAAGAAAATGAAATAGTATTTCCTATCATGTGCACGGTGGTGGAGTAGACTTTTTCACCCTTCCTTTTAAATGAAAAAGAATTGCAAGGGGAAAAGTCATGGGGGAAAGGTTACGAGATTGAATGTTTCCAGCCTGCCAAGTTTTGAAACTACCAAAGGATCGTTGGGCCATTTCCTGCTATTGTTCTCCCTGGCTATATATGTTGAGTCTAATTAAGTGCATTGTTAACAGGCTCTGGCGCCGCTTACACCACTTTGTTCTCTCTCTGTCTCCTGTAGTTGTTCTACCATCTCCAGAGGGAGCGTTGCTTCCTGGAGCCCAGAGCCCGGTTTTACGCTGCTGAAATCGCCAGTGCCCTGGGCTACCTGCACTCCCTCAACATCGTGTATCGGTAAGAAGCTGCCTTCAGTTTGTTGGACTGCAAAAAACCACGTGCTTTGTGGAATAAGCGTTGAAAAGTTGGATCTCCATGCGAGCTCCGAGTCGCTTTTAGTATTTTTTCGTGACTTGGTGAAGTTCTGTAAACAACTGCACCTAAAATATCTCCATGCGAGCTCCGAGTCGCTTTTAGTATTTTTTCGTGACTTGGTGAAGTTCTGTAAACAACTTCACCTAAAATACCTTCATAGAATCGTAGAATGGTTTGGGTTGGAAGGGGTCTTAAAGATCATCCAGTTCCAACCCCCCTGCCCTGGGCAGGGACACCTCCCACCAGACCAGGCTGCTCCAAGCCCCATCCAGCCTGGCCTTGAACCCCTCCAGGGATGGGGCAGCCACAGCTTCCCTGGGCAACCTCTTCCAGTGCCTCACCACCCTCACAGCAAAGAATTTCTTCCTAGTATCTAGTCTAAATCTCCCCTTTTTCAGTTTAAAACCGTTACCCCTCGTCCTATCCCTCCACTCCCTGATAAAGAGTCCCTCCCTGTAGCTCCTCTAACGAACCCTTGTCTTTGATCTCTTCCTACAGTGACTTGAAGCCAGAGAATATCCTGCTCGACTCCCAGGGGCACATTGTCTTGACCGACTTTGGACTCTGCAAAGAAAACATTGAGCACAACGGCACGACCTCCACCTTCTGCGGGACACCAGAGGTAAGGCCGCTCGTAGAGTGTCCCCCTCACTGAAAACTGACGTCTCCCATGTTTATTTGTGGGTGGTTAGACAAGCAGGGGGTGTTACGGGTCTTGTAATATGCCAGTAAGGACATGTAGGACACGTTGAGCCAGAGAGAACAGCTTTTGAGCTGTCTCCCTGTTTCATAAATAGCTTGCAGCTTTCCGGTAGCTTAGGTATTGCAGGGATTTATTAAGCTGCTTTCATTCAAGAACGGGGAGGTTCTCCTAATTATAAAGACCCTAACGTGGCTCTCTTCCTTCTCTTACACAGTATCTCGCTCCTGAAGTTCTTCATAAGCAGCCCTATGACCGGACTGTGGACTGGTGGTGCCTTGGAGCAGTCCTGTATGAGATGCTTTATGGCCTGGTAAGGGACAAATCCTTCACGACGGATCAAACTGGACTTGCTGGTCCTTTCCCCAGAAGAAACCCCATGTCCCCTCCTCAGCCTCGTTAACCCGGGTCTCTCCTTTGCCATTCCCACAGCCGCCCTTCTACAGCAGGAACACGGCGGAAATGTACGACAACATCTTGAACAAACCTCTGCAGCTGAAGCCAAATATCACCAACTCGGCTAGACATCTCCTGGAAGGCCTCCTGCAGAAGGACAGGACAAAGAGGCTTGGTGCCAAGGAGGACTTTGTAAGTGCAAACCACCCCATGCCCGTAGACAGCACAGGGGAGGGGGATGACCAGGCCGTACTGGTCATACATTAGCTTGGCTCTGAATTAATCTATTTTTCTCTCTGTAACAGATGGAGATTAAGAATCACATCTTCTTCTCCCCAATTAACTGGGATGATCTCATTAATAAGAAGATTACACCTCCTTTTAACCCAAATGTGGTAGGTATCATTTCTAATTATAGAATGCATGAAGTGTTTCCTCCCCACCCCTCCTTGTCTTTGTGGGGTGCCCAGGAGCTGGGGGGACACTATACTTGGGGAAGAGAGCTTTTCCTTCCCCTAGGGCTGCCCATGTGAGGTTGAAAATAAGAGGTAGCTGTCTTTCTGCTGATAGACAATCTAAATTTAGCTGGGGTTTTTTGGCCTCTCACATGCTTGGTTGGCGTGGCTATTTTAAAATAATCCCCAGCATCCCCCTTTTACCGAAGGGGAAGGTGAGGTGTGGAGAAAGCAAAGAGCTTCCCCCAAGGGCAGAGTTGACCTTTGGCTTGTCAGATACCAGCACCTCAAGAGAGGGATGTGGTTGTGGAGGCGGTTCTCTTTCACTTTCTGAGCATTTTGAGAAACTAGATTTAATAACTAGCCCAGGGATCAAAGTCTGGCACGCCTGCCCCTGGCTTGTGTTGCATGAGCTTAGTTGGACGGTAGCGTATTAAATCAAATCATCTTGTTTTTATTGAGATGATACGTAGCAACATAAAAAAAAAAAAAGATAAAATTCAAACTAAAACCAGCAAAGGCTGTTAAAACAATAAACCCCAGGTGATAACGCTGTGAGTCTTCCCTGCACAAAGGTGCTTGTCCCCGTTTTTGGTTGGAACCGTGCGCTCGCGAAAGAAATTCGGGTCTAAATGTCACCTCTTTTTCCCTTTTCTGCCCTTTCTGCAGAGCGGCCCCAGTGACCTGAGGCACTTTGATCCCGAGTTTACAGACGAGCCAGTCCCCAACTCCATCGGCCAGTCCCCAGACAGCATCCTCATCACCGCCAGCGTCAAAGAAGCCGCTGAGGCTTTTTTGGGCTTCTCCTACGCCCCACCCGTGGACTCTTTCCTGTGAACGTTTGTCCGTCTTATCTCCTTTTTTTTTTTTTTTTAAATAATAATAACTATTATTTTTATTTTCGTTGGGCCTTCTGGTGGAACCGCCAGTCGACCAGTCACCTTGAAAAGAGAATTTTGCACATTTCCACCGTGGTGGCAGCTTTGCAGCCTTAATTTCAACGACACTGTTTGCTGGAAGCTTTTTTTTTTTTTTTTTCCTCCTGGTTTTGAAGAGCACATCACTCTCTAAAATGAGCTTTACAAAAAAAAAGCTTTTCGTTTCCATTCGTTCTTCCCCCCCCCAAAGTGGTGCTGTCTCCTTGGGAAAGAAAAACAAGAGGGACTGCTGCCATGGGCTGCTCCGGTGGATCGTAGGAGTAAGAACAAGCCGTTTGGGAAATCGTGCTCCTTGAAAAGCCTTGCCTGAAGATCTAGAAGAACGTGATGAGGATTTTCTGAAATGTGCCTTTTTTTTTCTTCTTTTTTTTTTTTAATTTTCTGACGAGATCTGGTGAGCTCCAAAGCTTCCCCCTGTTGCAGAGTGTGTTTCTCAGTTCATTTACGTGGGTTTACTATGTGAACAAATGGTCTGCGTGTGGTCTGCGTACTACAGATGGACTTAGTTTAAAAGCATCAGTGTGACACTTGCAGGATACCACAATGTGGGGCATTGTTTGTTTCTTCCATATTTGGAAGATAAATTAAGTGTAATTTTGAAATTTCTTTTGTAAATCTATACAGTCAACTGAAATTATTGAAATGGGCTCGCAATTACTTGTGTATCCAAATGCTTGAAGAAAGCATTGCTGCTATGAAAAAAAAAAAAAAAAAAAAAAAAGATTTCTATTTTTTAGAAAGGGTTTTTATGGACCAAAATGCCCCAGCTGCAGTCGGTCAAAGCTGTTGGTTTTGTTTGTTTCTTCTTTATTTTATGGACCAAAATGCCCCAGCTGCAGTCAGTCAAAGCTGTTGGTTTCATTTGTTTCTTCTTTATTTTTTTTTTTCTTTTTTAGTTTAAAAGATGTCATCTGTAAAATGGGCATTATTTATGGGCTTGGGGTTTGGGGATTTTTCATTCCTGATTGTATGTATTGTAAAAAAGATCTGTACATTCAGTTGTAACTCTAGATGTATATTTAAACTTACAGACTTACTTGTAATGTATACCATCATTGTAATGTAATATAATTAACATGGTTATATGTATCATATTTTTTTTGTGACCAAACCCATTGGTTTGCAGTAAAATCCTAAAAAATACTTCCATAAACTCTGTCATGTTTTTTTTCTTTTCAAACACAGGTTTTTTCTAAAAAATAACAGATCTGAACTACCAATCTGCCAAGGAACCTGTGTGAATTTTTCGTGGGTGTGTGATGGGTTATTCCATCAAACTGCACCCACATGAGTTTTATCACGGAGACACTTGAGCAAAATACTTGGGTTTTCCATCTGGGCGTGTTGGAGTGGGCGCCGAAGGATGTGGGTGCTCTTAGGTGGTATGAATGTTCCTCAAAATGAGTTTTCTTCTCGCAAAGTGAAGGTAACACTCCCTGGTGTGGACGAAGCATAACTGCACTTGAAGAATTAAGTCCTTGGTTTGTTGTATGACAAAAGGTTTGGCCTGTTTTAGCCCTGGAGATCTGCTAAAAGCAGGTTGGTGTGAGGCTGATGGAAACTCCTTCCCTGGGGGAGTCCATCACGGAGGTGGAACATCACTGCTGTGATGTGGGGCAGTGTCATGCACCCCCATCTTACCTGCCAAAATCTGCACTGGGGAGGTGGGTATCACCAAATGATGGGGTAAAACTAACCATTCACCTAAAACCGAGCTGTTAAATACAGGTTTTTATCGCTGAGGATTACCGGGTGGCCTGCAAGTGGGACATAACAACCAAAAGTTAAGATAACCTCTTCTTCTGGGGTGGTCCCACCCAGAATGGGGTGGTCCCATTCCATTTATTCTCCGTGGTGATGGATGGCTTCCTTCCAGGAGGGACTGGGCGCCTGCACCTTATTTACAGCTCCCAGTAGCCACTGGTTGCTGCAGCTGGTGGTCACAGCAACTCAGAGAATCCAAGTGAACACTTGCTGAGACAAACCTGGCCAGAGTCTACTGTTGCTGGGGCCACTGCCATAACAGCACCACAAGCCAAGGTCTCACAGGGGTGATGTTTCTGTTTGTTATAATTTCCGAGATAAAAGCATGCAGTAACTTTCCATCTTTTATTATCCGTTGATTGTAGGAGCAAAAAAAAACCCAACAAAACAACCAAACCCAAAACTTTATGTCTTCAGCTATAAGCTGTGTCTGGGAGACCACAGTCGGAGCTGAAAATGCTAATTTATAGCAGCCAAGAAACCTCTTTCTTTCAGATCATGTTTGTATAAGAAGGAGATGCAGCATGCCCCCCCCCTTGAACTCCAACAATCCCAAATTCAGGCGTTCAATAACTCTTTGAAGAGCACGTGGACAAAGTCTCCCAGTGCTAGAACCTGCCTGAAACATCTTTTGTCTGGAGGGCTCCTAGGCTAGAGATGTTAAAACATATATATAGTGCTAATTTGCTCCTATAGGAAAATACAAGGGTGCTCCCTGAGTGATGAAGTTCTGCAACAGGCTTTATCTTTGCCTCCCATTTCCCAGGCGTTAACAAGGTGCTACCTGCAGATATGGGGAGGAGAGAACCACAGCCCTGGGGTAACAACATATTCAATAGTATCCATCATTTTAGAGGTTCTTTGTCAGGGAGTGGAGTGATAGGACGAGGGGTAATGGTTTTAAACTGAAAGAGGGGATGTTTAGATGAGGTATTAGGAAGAAATTCTTTGCTGTGAGGGTGGTGAGACACTGGAAGAGGTTGCCCAGAGAAGCTGTGGCTGCCCCATCCCTGGAGGGGTTCAAGGCCAGGCTGGATGGGGCTTGGAGTAACCTGGTCTGGTGGGAGGTGTCCCTGCCCATGGCAGGGGGTTGGAACTGGGTGATCTTTAAGGTCCCTTCCAACCTGAACCATTCTATGATTCTATGAACCATTCTATGATTCCATGATTTGATGTGTTAGAGTCATGTCTGAAGGGAGGGAGTCTATGGCAGTCAGCTGTTTTTTGGGTTGGTTTGGTTGTTGTTTTGTTTCTTTTACAGAATCCCTTGTCTGTAAGGCCCATATTCCCTTTAGAGAAAAGCCTCTGGACTGAGAAGCAGAGGGCTAGGACTCCTGAAATCCCAGCAGACAGAGGTGTTACGTGTTTGTGTTATTTTGACCAAGAGCTGAAAGCAGAGGGCTAGGACTCCTGAAATCCCAGCGGACAGAGGTGTTACGTGTTATTTGGACCAAGAGCTGAGCCTGCAGTTCAGTTTCACCTATTTGTAAAATGGGAGTAATCACCCAAATTTTCTGCTGGTGGCAGTGTTGTAACTGCTTTACTCAGTTTGTAGCAGCTTTACTTAGCAGAACGGTCAACCCAGTGAACCTAAAGACCTTCCTTATAACTGCATTTTGCGTCGCAAACGTGCCTGGGCTCTGATGGGTGGAGTGTAGTATTGGTGGTACAGACATAAACATCCAAATACGTAAATTGAGGCGTTTTGCGTGGTTTAGTCTCTGTTACTTATCTCTCTGCACCATAAGCCACGTACCGTTTCATGAGCCTCACGAAGATAAGTGAAGCTTATTGGTGTGACAGTATTTTTCTTGTGTTCCCTCCATGCTTAACCGGCCGTTCCTTCTGGAGGAGGACAGTCTGGATCTTAAGCAAGTCAAGGAGATGCCTGTTTCTCCCCAAAAAGGTTTTAAAAAAAGTAGCAGGTGCCCATCTTCTGTGTGTTTCTCATCAAAAACCTGCAGAAATTAATGAAGAAACCCAAGACTTTTGTACGGCCTTGCAGGTCCCGTGAAACATTTCTACAAAGAGCTGAAAAAAAAAAATAATGAGGGGGAACTGCTCAGAAAGGAGCTTCGCAGGGGGTGGTGGTCCTAATTGGGCATCTTACCTGGGGCACCTAAAGGTAGGCAAGATGAATCCTGGCCCATCTGTACCCTTCTAAGGAGTGAATTGAAATATTTCATTACATTACTCTCCCATTTAACTGCAGTACCAGCTCTAGAGAGGTTTCTGTGGTACCACGTGGCCATGGTGACCCCAGAAGAGCAAGCAGGATGGTTTCTGACACTCCCCACATCTACAGTTTCTGCTGTCAAGGCCAACACCTAAAGATCAGGATAAAATTTTCCATGCTGGCTGGAACTGCCCGTGGAAAGTTACCACAAACATGCTTCCCAAACTGTTTTCCAGAAAACGAGGGTTTAAAAAAAACAAGGAAAAAAGGTTTGCTATCTGAAAAAGACAACTTTAAACAGCTAATACAGATTATGTACTGCGTTTATGTTTTGAATCAGGGACAATTTGGCCAGCAGATTGCTTTAGTGTCAGGCGAGGCTCTAAATGAAAGTCCTCTTCTTTGAGAGAGTGAAATTCAGTAGTTTGTGGCTTTCCTGTGCAGTATATAATCACTGCAGGTCTCTGTTTGGTCACCTGCACTCATGTGAAGTGAGTTTTCCACCTTTGGATGTTCTCAAGCCCTGGAGAGAGCAGGGGGCTGTTGTTTACTCAGGAGTTTCCTCCTGCCCCATCTGTTGGAGTGAAAGAAAAGAGGAAAAAAACTCCAAAAAGTGGAAAACTCGAGCCTGAGGAGTCTCGACAGTGAGGTGCCTCCTGCTGCACTTCAAAAAAGGTAAAAGAGGAAAAAAACTCCAAAAAGTGGAAACCTCAAGCCTGAGGAGCCTCGAATGTGAGGTGCCTCCTGCTGCACTGCAAAAAAGGCCTTTGCCCTGATGTCCAAGGGCTGGAGAAAGGGGTCAACGTCCCCGCACGGTCGGTCTCTGCTCTTTGTACGTGGTACCACTGACCCAGCGCCGTGGTGGAAGCACAGTCCTGTGTGAGAGCCCACCTGGACCCGGGCTGGAACCACCCTGAGCTGTTTACCCAACAGTGGCTCGTATCTGACTGTGGAGCATCTCCTAAGGACAGTCTGGACCAAGGGTGACACCCTGTGGGAGAAGAAGGCATTGGAGTGGCCATAAAAGCTGCAGAATACAAGGGTGTTGGAGCTGGTGCATCTGGAAAATGATGTCCTTCCTTCCTTCCACACCTGGGATAGCGATTGGTTTAAGTAAAAGAACAGGAACGATCTCACAGCTCTAGTTCCTCTTCCACACAGATGTCACCTTCCCATGGTAGAGGTTTGGTTTTTTTCTTTCCTGAGGCTCCTTTCCTTAATCAGCCCAGACAAACCAACCCTTCTGTCAGGTGCAGTTTCCTCTGTAACATCCCTCTCTGGACCCACCTGCCTTTGAGATGCACTCAGCTAACACAAGAGTGTCCTCCACGTTGGTTTTTTTGGTGCATAGATGGTCGAGTGCCACAAAAAACCAATATTTACTTGCTGGCTCCTTCCTTGTCCTCCAGCAGGTCGGGAGAAGCAGCACCATATGAGCAGCAACAGGCAAGAACAACATCACACCACGGCCACGGGCTCCTTCGATAGTTCCTTATTTGGGAAAACTGAGCTGTTTAAGAAAAGGCCCCCAAGTTTGGCCTGTTTATTCCATAAGGATCTGCTCGCTGAATCGGCTCTCCCCACCATGCAGGAGGATGTGAAGAACTCAATACACTGTGAATGGTCTCTCACACGTTGATGAAGAGATGTCCTGCAGTTCAGGCCATCTCCTATGAATGTGATATATGCAGCACACAAATAAGTGGTTTATAGGATAAGGCCTAAGCCTTCTTAGACTTCATCCTTCTTTCTCAGTACTCGTAAACATCCTTCCTTCTGCATTTCGGAGTCTACACTTACCAGTACTCGTAAACATCCTTCCTT